AGATGTAGCTTCGAGAAATTAAAAAAGCTTTTCTGAAATAAGATTATCAGGTAAGGGTATTCTTGCAATTAGCTTATGTACCTTGTCCTTGCTGCCACTCAAATGAATTGCTTTTGCAGTGTTGTCTTTTAAGGAGATTTCTCATGGCGATATCAGAGATTCTGGTGTTGAATATATCATGAGTCATTTGATTAAAATAGTACTGCTTAAGATTTATTCTCATCAAAACTGCTGAGAATCCTCATCATTCTGTCGGTCCCTTTCAGATTTCTGAAGAAACAATTTGTACCATGGTAAAGCTCTGTGTTGCAAATTCTTTTATGGTAACACTAGTATAGTTTCTAGAGATTTCCTTACAGCTATTACACTTACGAGATGATTTTATCTTATGCTGTATGTAAAGCTGTAGTAGGTGTTAATACACTGCTAGCATTCAGCCACTTGATGCATTATTGTATGTTTTTATAAAGTGTGATTAAAGATACAGGTAGCCAAGTGTTAAAATCTAGGGCTTTTTGTTTATTTTAATTTAGCTTAACTTAATGTTCTCCAACATTTCTGATAAAACTACTGTTTCCCAGGAATTTAAGGGAACTTCTGTTTAATGTTCTAGACTGGGCTTTTCAGAGAGGCACAAGGAAGTTCAATGTCAAGCTCCAGCTGAAAATGGGTGAAAATGAGGGCTGCTGCCTTAAGCAGTTGAGAAATGCAAGCTAAGGCCATTCTCCCCACTGTTTTTGTTGCGTGTTAGTAGAATGCAGAAGTGTTACCTGCATTTTTTGAGAAGTAATGCCTTAAAAAGTTGTAAATACTACTTTTGGAAGCAATCTTTTTTTAAACCAGTGTTCTCAGTTGTAGGGGTCTGTTTTTCAGACACTAAAATTAAGTTAAAATCCAGTATTGGAAAATTAGGTGAATAACATTGAAATTGTGCATATGCAACAGTATTACTGTGGTCACAATATTGTGGTCTGTACAACCTTGATTCAGATCCCTTGTGTCTGTACATCACAACAGGATTTATGGTCCATGCCTGTTTTACTAAAGTAATCTTTTTACATCTGTGGTTATCCATTTCTTGATGCCCAGACTATTGAGTCTGACTTAGATATACTTGAGATATCATAACTACAATTAAAGTTGGGGAATGTGATATAATACTGAGCATCTTGAAAAAGATTGTCCTGGATATCCTCACATTTGTCTCCAAAAATGGAAAGATATTTTTACAGTAACCTATTCTGACTCTATTTGCCATTCTTGAGATATGTTGTGAAAACTTATTTTATAAAAGCTCTTACTGAGAATAATTCTGTAAAGGCAGCAAGGATGATTCCTTAGGATGTGATGATTCCTTAGGGTGCGATGAGGCAGGTAAAGAACTTCTTGAAAAGAACTGTTCGTTATATGAGCAGTATTGCTTCTGTATACTGGATGAAACAGAACGCAGTTGTAGGGAAAAAAATGCATGTCATTTGATAATTCTCCACCAAAAAGACTGTGATGGGTTGACCCTGGCTGGACGCCAGGTGCCCACCAAAGCCGTTCTATCACTCCCCCATCCTCAGCTGGAGAGGGGAGAGAAAAATATAACAAAAAAGCTTGCGGGTCGAGATAAGGACAGGAGAGATCGTTCACTAATTACCGTCATGGGCAAAACAGACTCAGTTTAGGGAAAATTAGCTCAATTTATTACAAATCAGCCAGAGTAAGGTAAATGAGAAATAAAACGAAATCTCAGAACACCTTCCCTCCACCCCTCCCTTCTTCCCGGGCACAACTTCACTCCCGGATTTCTCCACCAAGCCCCCCCCAGCGGCACAAGGGGGACAAGGATGGGGTTTACGGTCATCACACGTTATTTTCTGCCACTTCACCTCCTCAGGGTTAGGGCTCATCACACTCTTCCCCTACTCCAGCGTGGGGTCCCACCCACGGGAGACAGTCCTCCACGAACTTTCTCCAACATGGGCCATTCCCATGGGCTGCAGTTCTTCACGAACTGCTCCAGCATGGGTCCTTTCCACGGTGTGCAGTCCTTCTGGAGCAGTGTGCTCCAGTGTGGGTCCCCCACGGGGTCACAAGTCCTGCCAGAAAACCTGCTCCGTGGGCTCCTCTCTCCACAGATCCGCAGGTCCTGCCAGGAACCTCCTCCAGCGCAGGGTTCCCACGGGGTCACAGCCTCCTTTGGGAACCCACCTGCTCCAGCGTGGGGTCCTCCATGGGCTGCAGGTGGATATCTGCCCCACTGTGGACCTCCCTGGACTGCAGGGGGACAGCCTGCCTCACCATGGTCTTCACCACGGGCTGCAGGGGAATCTTCGCTCCGGCGCCTGGAGCATCTCCTCCCCCTCCTTCTGCACTGACCTTGGTGTCCGCAGGGTTGTTTCTCTTACATGTTCTCACTCCTCTCTCTCTGGCGGCTATTTTCTCACTGTCCCCACTTTTTTTCCTTCTTAAAAATGTTATCACAGAGGCGTTACCACTATCACTGATTGGCTCGGCCTTGGCCGGCGGCGGGTCCGTCTTAGAGCCGGCTGGTATGGGCTCACTCTCTCTCGAACACAGGGGAAGTTTCCAGCAACTTCTTACAGAAGCCACCCCTGTACACCGCCCCCCCCCCCC